ATAAAGGCTCTAGTAAAAGTATCAATGGTTAAAAAATTCTATTGGTAATACGTAAATATTACATAATTGAAATTCGACCTGATTATATCTCACGTGATGTGTTCGGTTAAGTTCTAATTCTCAATCCGGGTAACCCGCTTAAGAATTCCAAAACCGGCTACCCCGATTCTGAATTGGGACGGCCGGATTCCGAATCGGGACGATTCCTATCCGGGGTACAACATATACATCACAGTTTTGCAGTCAATAAAGATGGGTTATTTAATAAAGTTGTGTAATTGTTACGCGTAATCTTGTTTCATACATTGTAATTTGTGAACATAGACCTTACTAAATGACTAATAGACGTCCGTGTAGAAAATTTAATTAATAAGATGAAATAAATTAACTATTCGTTAATGAAAAAAAAACCATATTCAGAAAGTCATATTTTTTGAAATTAGACTTTCTAACATATATACTATTTTCAGTGACAATTAATTCTACGTATTTAAATTCTAATAATTACAATTAGGAAATATATTAACGTTAAATAAAATAAGGTCATACAAACTTAATAAATTGGTTCTCATAACCCGGCCGGGTCAAATTTTTAAAAATTTTTTGACTATATTTACTATCTGGGTGCAGTTTTTTTAGAAGTTTATAAAAATTTTTATATGCTTTTTTTTATATAAAATTTTTTGAAAATAAAAGTAAAATCCGGGTCATTTTTCAAATTTTGAGATCCAAAAAATTAACTTTGTATGGCCTAATTATGTATTATATCTACATTACAAACAAATTTCAAAATTGTTAACACAGATAATATTTTCCACCAAGAAATTTTTTTACTTGGGATGGTAAGGAACAGGCGTTGCAACAATTTTCGCACTCTCTCTTGTTCACTCTCCGTTCACCAATCGGATGAGTTCTTTTGTATTCTCGTCCATCGATTCTCTTTATGTCTTTCTGGACGACATCTGCTAATACTTTTCCTCTACTTCGTCGCTAAATCTCATTTCATTTTCTATAAACAGAGAAGATGACCAAGTTCCTCCTTGCTTGGTGGTTCGTTCAATATATTTCTTCCAATTATTGACTTCTATTAAATCCTCCTTGTCGGATTCTTTGCAAAAATTTTTAGCTCTCGAAATTTATCAATTGAAATTGAAAGAATTCATTTAGAATCAACTTCATACCAAATTAGGAATGCGTGTTCACAAAGAATTTTACGTCGTAAAAATCTGCTGACTCCAGCTTCAAGAAATTTTTAAGCTTTCAAATTCGTAAATTGAAATTGAATTAATTCATTATAAAATCAACTTTGTTCCTAATTAGCTGACTTCAGCTTCAAGAAATTTTTAAGCTCTTAAGTTCGTAAATCGAAATTGGATGAATTCATTATAAAATCAACTTTGTTCCTAACTAGTAATATATGTTTCATAATCGAGCCAAAGAATTTTACGGTTTCGAACAATACAAAAGAAAAGACTTGGACGACACATTTAAATTACCATATTGTCGCAAAATAACGCACAGGGGTGTAATTTCGAATTTCGACTAAATTAAGCTTAATTCGGACCAATATTCTAAATAACGCCCATGGCGTTATTTCGCAAATACAATGAAAACAATTAGAAATTATGATTTAATTAAAGAAAATTAAATTGAATGAAAGTTACTTATTACAGTACTTATTGAAAAAAATTTTTTTTTAATTGAATTTGATTTTCTTAAATAATATTTAGATTTAATCAAATCGGATGCTAATACAATAAAGGTTGCATATTACTTTTAATACGACAGAAATTTACTAATCACTTTAGAATAATAATTATCAAGATCCTAAGAATATTTGACACTATTAGTTACGAAAACTAATTGCAATTCGACTGGAATTATTTGATTCAATCCTCGGGCCAATCACTATTTCTACCAGCATTGGTATAATTATTATTATTTATATTATTATTGATTTGCACGAGTTATTATATTCTTTTTATTCAATTCAAATCATTGTAAGATAAAAAACATATTTATAATAGAAATCAAAAGGTAAAGAGAGAAGTAATAGATCTTGTAAGCAAACAGAGGAAATATATTGGAGTGAAAGTATGAGATATTGTAAAGCAAACAGCATAGAGGAATATATTAGGGTGAAAGTATGAGATCTTATAAAGGCATAGAGGAAATATATTGGAGTGAAAGTATCTCAAATATTAAGTTGCATAATGGCAAACAGCATAGAGGAATATATTAGAGTGAAAGCATGAGATCTTATAAAGCAAATAGCATAGAAGAAATATATTAGAAGTGAAAGTATCTCGAATGTTAAGTTACATAATGGAACATTGGTTAACGACGTTTTCACCATAGTTCTCTTTATTAATATAGGCACCGGGCCTAATGAAATCGATCATTTCAACCGCGTCACCAGGACGTACAGCAACAGGGAAATATGAATTCATTTTGTAAAGTTTGGAAAGTTTTTAAATAATGCTTTAAAAGCCTGAAATTTATGATTTTATTTCTTCTTTCTTTGGATTTCTTGTTTAATATTTAACAGGTTGCAAGTGATATTTATACAATTTTACAAATTACATATACTGTAAATAACAATATTATGCGAAAATAAAAATTATGTTGTCAAAATTTCAAGTGAATTTCCAATTCATAGATACCTTTGCTGTAATTGAGATTTGTCAATTGTTAAGCATTTACATAATAAAAAGTTTGAAATTTTGCGAGGCAGCCTTTTCTTTATTCAATTGAAAATTTAGATAATGGAAAATTCAGTTAAAATTATTCACAAATCTTTAAGCTTATTAATGGTTTCCATACATTATTTTGATTTTTCAATGCTTCTATTGATGTGGGAATGAACTGTTTAGTTTCAAAAATTTTCTTTTCTTTTATCTATATAAACAAATCTAATTCATAAGTATGAACTTAATGTGCCGTGACTTCATGGGTAATCCGGAATATCTGTTAAGTATTCATATACTCTAAGCATGACTAGCATGATTTTGCTGTAAAAGAACCCATTCCAAAGAATTTTCAATCCAATCGACTTTTAATAATGAAATAATTTACAAAAAAAGTAATCCTCAAGATTCGTTTTTTTTAATCACATCAAATTGCCACAATCCAAAAAAAAAAAAAAAAAATATATATATATATATTCAATGAAAGAAATATTTTACTTAACCTCGTTATCTACTTATCTTCGATCTTTGTTGTCAATATAAGTAGACATGAAGATTTTGCAAAGATCGAATTCGAGTATTTTCTAGCCTTTATTCAATTCTTATATTATTCATCGCTGCTTATTATAATTCAAAATTTGAAAGACTATCGAATATGGAACTCCTACAAGTACCTAATAATATAACTTTTATGAGATTCGTTAACACATACATGAAAATATGTACTAGAATACTGAAATTTTCGATTGGATTATGAATAATAAATAATAAATTACGAGTTTCGGTTCTCTTTAATTAGAGCAAGTTTCTAAAATCTCCATTATTTTCGTTTTTTTTTTTTTATTTCTTTGAGTTATTCGATTTGGATAAGTAGCCATCCAGAAATCTTCAAGGTCTACCTGATCGCCTTCATTAAAGTTTTAAAAAATGAATTTGCTAGCGCTAGATGTTAAATGAATTTTTTCTATTGGTCAGATCGATGAAAATTAAGGAATCAAAACAACGTAAATTGCAAGAATAACTTTTTTTTATTGGTCAGATTGAAAATATAACAATGGAGCGACAATATATCATCTTTGATAGGATTATAATATGGCTTTAATTAATTGAATGTTTGCCATCTTTTCTAATAAAGAATATACAAGTTTGTATGTTGACTTTTGAATTCCTGGAGAATTACTTTCTCGCGGGCCAGCTACATTTAAATGTTTTATCTTATTCTTTTCAATCCAAACGAGTATTTGTTCAATATTATCCATGGGAAATTGGTCAAGGCAGATTTTTTGCCAAGGTTTTTCATATTTTTTAGCCATTTCAACTGTAAAGGCTGTTCCATCTAACTCGGTAACAAAATTTGGTGCCGGGAGAATTATTAAAGTGGCCTCTGCATCCCGAACGTTCCACTCTGTTCTTTGTTCGTACCTCGGAGTAGGAGTTTCTTGAAGTGGGTATTTTGAGTCGATTTTACCATCTTCAGCTTTTCTTCCTTGTGGACACCAACCAGTGAGTATCCAAATATCTCTATTTTGAAATTCTACAACGAGAAGAGACTCTTCCCAGATCATATTTTTTACATTTTTAATGCTATTTTTTACATGAGCCAAAAAAGCATTCAAGAAGCCTCGGTCAACTCCGGTTTGACCTCCTGTGCGAAAGATAATTTTTTTATCATGATAGCATAGCATTACTAGTATTTTTAATAACTAAGTTTATGAAACTTTTAATATTGAAAGTGTAATATTAAAATTAACTAAATCATACAGTATTTAGATAAAATTCTAAAGTAGATTCTGTGGATAAACTAAATTTGTCTCCGCCTGAACGAAAGATAAAAATTACAGTCAGACCTCTCTATAGTCACCTCCTCTATAGTCACATTTGCTTATAATTACATAAATTTTTAAAACCAACTT